CATGCTCAATAAATAGTTCATTGTGTATTCTCTATATCTAATTTTCCTGTCTATATTTAACAATATCTAATTCTCTTCTACATTTTTGGGGGCCTCCAGGAAATATGTGTTTGGCAGCTGTTTAACAGTCACATATCAGCAATAAATGAAATGATGTTGGTACCTAATTTGATTGTAACGTTTATAAAGTGCTTTGAGCCGACAGAAATAGTGCCAATAAACACTGTAAAACATAAAATCTCTCTCACCAAACTATCCTTTCTCCTTAGATTTATATCTCTCAAAGTAGGACTCCTATTTATTCCTTTCTCTATGAGATAGACACACCAACCTCAATACAGCAGTAAGAAACAGGGTAAGTGTAATTTTTTAAGAAGACTGATAGTGCCAGCGCACAAAAATGTCAGAGTAGCTGAAACATAAAGATTAGGCTCATTCACCTAATGTGTATGGCTTGATCATTAAGGCCTAATAAACAAATCGTGGGAATCCCTGTCAATTACATCCATAAAGAACAATGGCTGAAGTAGGAGGAACAATGGCAGCCACTGGGCTTTGGACTTAGTTTATAGTTTTGTGAAGGATGGCATCTAATTTCTAGAAAGATCTTGATGTTCTGAGAGAAATTCATCCACTGTCTTCATTTTTAGCTTGAATACATGACATGTCGCAGTGCTTTTGAGTGGGCTTCTGCCAGTGTGCAGAAACTGATGACATGGAACAGGTACCAACAATGGCACAGCTGCTAATGGGCACATTTAAATCAGCGGCTATTCTTCCCCTGCCATCATGCAAAGCCCCTTTTACTGCTTTAAAACAAACACAGCTTAATTTTATTTCCTGCCTGGCTTTGTATAATTTTGACATGTCCTCAGTCAAACACGACCCAGTCTTTCAATCAGTCCCTATTTTTCTGGAGATGAGAAAACAAGAGGAAGCTAAAGTAATTATTGAAAACTCATAAGCAGCAGCTTTAGCCTAATTACCTTGACTTTCCTTTTTAATTTTTCTATCGATTGTCTCTTGTTAATATACAAGTATTGACTGAGCCAGTAGAGCCTGGTGCTACTACGATAAGAATAGATGCCGTTGGGAAGCAGAATGTAATTAAGAGACCCAATATTCTGCTCTTCCTTTTCAGAAACATGCAGGTACAGAAAAGACTTTGGTAGGAGACCCTCTTAAGAATCATCAGCAGCTCCTAAACAGCAAGAAGCTTAAATGTCTTTACTGTCTGTTGTGCCTATGCCACCAGAGGGCAGCTGGGAAAAGGAAAAACAGCTCCGATTTCTTTGTTCTTCTTTTGATATTAAAAGAACAGGACATGTTTCCCCTATTTTCAGCATACAATCTAGAAGAACTTTCAGGTCAACAACTTCAGGGGAATGAGCAGCCCAGAATGAATGCTGCAGCCTTTGGAGTTGTGTATTCCCTTTCAAATGCTGTTGTATTTATAGTCTCAACTTTAAAAAAGGAACAGCATAAAAACAAGTTAAGACTGGGTGAACTAACCTGAATATTAATGTGTCACTGGCATTTCCTTTTAACAGATCCCTATACCTTTGTCTGGGAGAAATTTAGGTTTTTTTCTGTTGTAGGCTATGGAATTTGCTTAAAATAGATATGCCTATTTCTACAGTATTTTACACTTTTCAATTTTTCATAAATTGTTTTCTAGAACATGAATACCTTGTTGGTTGAAAGTCAATTTAAATTATCATCCAAGTGTAGTTCATTGTAAATAAATAGTAAAGTTACGTCCAAATCAGTTTTTAGGGGTCAAGATGACCCTGGTACACCAAGGTATAGTGTTGTGTTCTGTTTTACTTTAGCTTTTTAGGTAACGAAGAGAAAGGAAAAAGCAGGAATAGTAAGCAATCCTAAATCTCTAAACAAAGGTCTTCTGAAGGGCTGGCCGTAACCCTAAGGACTGTGTTGGTGTTGCAAAATGCAAGCAAGGCAGGAGTAGAAAGAATCCAATGGCTACAAAGGAGAAAAAAATGAATGAACAATCATTTGACAAAGAAAAGAGTTATAGACTGGAATACAAGAAAGATGGTATGCTGCACAGCAGAACCATCAGTAGTTCAGTCTCTCTCTAAAGCACGTTACAATACAACAAAGGCACATCAACTAAAAAGTGACAATTCTACAGATTTTTGTGGCATTTAATGAATGGGTAAGTGGATTTCTAATGAAATAACTTCATCATTTCCAGAGGGAATCATTGTAATCAGCTAGTTACAGGCATAAGTATACCGCTAATCCAGATGAGTAAGTGACAATTCATTGGAAGGAACTGAAAAAGTCATACTATAATCCTATATCAGTATAGGAAAGCATCAGATAATGTCACAGATACTCTCCCACAATACAGGTTTCAAAATATTCTAGTGAAATGTTGGTTCAGGTATTTTAGATAATATTTAAAATTCAGAAATCAAAGATGGAAAAATCTTTAGGATTTTGAATTATTTAACATTGAAGGGTAATGCTGTGCTACACACAGAGTTCACCTGGAGCACCTATATACGGGGTTTCCATAGTCCAGGAAATATTTTTGAAACGCCATTAAGTTCAAGGTGGTGGAATACAAAGGCAGATATGACTTGGGCTTTATTTCTACAAAAGTCATTCTCTAGTAGAGAGAAACACTCAATAAAAAATCTGACATAATGTCATAGTAAAAATTATTGTAGTATGTTAAGTCAGCTAAAGCAAAAAAAGGAGAGATTTCATTTTTCTTAAACCTAAACTGAAACAATTTTCTTAAAAACATAATTGAAAATAACAATAGGTTAGCATCAGAGCTGTAGCAGTGGAGAGGCCTTTGCATGCTCAAGTCAGCCAAAAGTTCAAGCAAGGAGACAACTAGTAGACTAGGCAGCTGCTATAAGGCTTACTTAAGGAGACACAGGGAAGGGCAAAGAGATGAAAGAAAAAGAAGTGGTCATCATGCACAACTTGAACAGTAGCTCTTAATGACTTCCTACATATGGCATCATGGAAAGTGGCTGAATCTGTTGTGAGGTAACTTGGATTTAAGTCCTAACTCCACTCTTTATTATGCATATGCCATTTTAAACCAGGATTATTTTAGATGGTGTTAGAAAACTGACTAAAAGTGCTAAGTAGGGTTTTATTGTAAATGATAGAAAATATTCTAGTTACTCTAAACAGAAAGGAATTTCATACAAGAAATTTGATGCTCACAGTATCATAGGAAGACGTGGTGGAGCTGGGTCTGTCTAAGGTGAGTTTCCAGTAATTCTTCTAAAATAACATTAAATAGGTGGACTCACCAGAGGAACTACTAGCCCTGTTACTATGAAGAGTGATAAGATCAATGTGATTTACAATTAATGTAAGAGAAAGGAAGCTTATCAAGTGACTTGCAATATTGTCACAAAAATGCCAACACTCTCATATTCCTCCAGGAAAACAACCATGCTACACACACACTCACAAAAATTGTTCTCAGCTCAGTTCCCCTTTTCAAATCTCATGAGTGCATCTGTAAGAGGACCTAATTTATACCCTAAATACTGTTTAAGGGAGACTAGGAAACACAGCCTCAAAGGGTGCACAAGGACAATGTTGAAAAGTTTCTTAAGTGCCAAAACACCATATCCACAACTGCAGATAATAAATTAACATTCATGATAGGATTTGCAAAAGTAGGGCAGTTTCAGAATTAGCAATCCAGTGGCTCTATATATATCCTTGAGGACTTCTTTCCCTTTTTCTTTTATTATCAAAAACTTATTCTGTCTTAATTTAAAAAATGGCTGCCACAGTCCTATTCAACACATGTGCAAATGCCACTAGTGACAGGAACAAATGGAAGGAACGATTTCATTGTATTATCTTTCAATCAGCAAATATCTTTCCCCCAAAGGCCTCAGGTGACTTTCTCTTACATTCACTGGCTAGAACTATGTAATTTATCCATGCTGCAGCACATCAGTGGCACAAGACATAGTATGAACATGACTGGTCTAGATGCTGACAAGCAGGACAAGACCCTTCCCCGAGGATATCACATTGTGGAGTGCAATCTGAATACAGATGGGATTGGACATGTAGGAAGAAGAGGATAGGGACAGATGTAGGTAGGTGAACAACCAGTTCAGCCAAGTTGCTCATATCCAACTCTCAGCGCCTTATGTCACTCAATTCTAAAAAGAGAACTGTATTTTTATATATACACTTAGTGTATTTTAGGTTAGTATGGCCTATAAGGGGACAATTTTTCTGGTGATAAGAAGAGTGGCAGTGAAGCGGTAGCCACTTTATTTTATATACTCAGCAGCTGTGGCCTCATTGTTGGTGCTTCATTGCAGGCTTAACTCCCAAGCATAGGGCAACTTTCCAGCCTGCGTCTGCTCCAACTCTTTAGCTTCTTCTTCTTCTTCTTTTGTTTTTAATGGAAAATTGTGATTACCTCATTTTTTTTATTAATGTAAGCATTGGATGCCAAAGAGGCAATTTTACAAATTCAGAATTTTTTAAAAACATGAAATTTCTATTTTATTATTTTCAAATGCATTTCTCTATAACTATCTCGTTTATCTGCCCTGGGATAATGTGAGTCACCCCTAACATATAGCTTTACCACTGACCTTGAAGCTAAACAAACAAAATTACAATTGACTACATTTTTAGGTTAACAGGACAAGTCTTCAGATGATGAATGGGGGAATTAATCTCCAACAAGACATTTTGTTGATATACTTCTTCTGATACAGCAGTTTTAAGTTAGAATCCTTAAAACACAATGCAAAGCAGATATACAATTGAAGAAGCTACTGGAGTTTAAACCTCCATAGTGCTAATCTAAGTGAAGGAACGCAAAATAATATTTTTCCAAACTAAATGGGTTTCTAGTAATTCCATCTAGTTGGCCTTTTTGATACAAATGGCTAAGATCTATCATTAATACATATACATCTTGGCTATGGCTGCATTAATTATGCCTGAAGAGTTTAATGCCTGTCTATCTAAGTCCAAAGGTGGTAAAGTCCATACACTGGTATGGTAATAGGCAAGGGCTGACTGTAAGCTGACTGTGCTGGTGAAGCCCTATGGGAAGTTTTTCCAGAGGCAGAACAGAATGGTCCTGCCAAAGAGACTGGTGGAATAAAAATAATCGATGTTAACAGAGACAGAAACATTCTTCTCCCCTACTTATTACCTGCTGCCTCATTTTAAACCATACGACTTCTGAGCCAGGTGTGTCTCTGGCTCTGTGATGGTGGTACAGCTTTTCTTCAAGGATACCCCCATCTTTAAGGCTGGACATTTTGAGAAGTGACAAAACTAGCACATTCTCACTGGTTCTAGCTTTCTTCCCCCCCCCCCAGCTTTCCCTAAATCCCTTCCTGTTAGTCTGACCTGTGGACTTCAAGCCCCACCATACACTGTCAAGAAAACAAGCTTGCAGAGACTGTTTAGCCTGATCCTACAATTACTTCATAGGAAGTCTAAAACAAATCCCTTATTTCTCTGTCTCTCTGCAGATAGATTTCCTGCAATCTCATGTTGTCCTTTCACAAAATGTCTTGGCTTGTAAGAAAAACAGTCCTGCACTATAGTAGGTATACAATAAGGCAGAGGAGATAGGAATATCAGGTCTTATACCACCCCAAGTAATTTGCATTTATATTGCAATTTATAGTTCAGATTGCACTGTTAAATCTCAGGTTGTGTATCAACCTTCACTGGATGAGTTAGTTCCACTTTCTTCCAAAGCTACACACTGTCAAAACAATATCTATTTTATAAAAGTCTTCTACATATAAAAAGGATAACATGTCCTGAGCATACTCATTTTAGTTACTGGAAAACAGTTCAGATGGAACAGAAGTAACAATACAACTTGGCTTAGGAAGAACTTACAGATACATTGGTTCATATGGTACCCTAACTCCTGTCTGTAGCATCCCTGGAGATGTCAGTCACACATCTTCAAATTAGAAGTTAACAGCTTAGAGAATATCTAATAATAACTATTTTAGAGATTTAAAACTATATTCTCTGAAAATGATGTTCTCAAAACTATAAAATACATGAACAAAATTATCTATACAAAATAGGTCACAGTGATTAGAACAACTGAGTAGCTATATAGGTGCAGAGTCTTGCAGTTAATCCCAAAGAATGACTTGTAGAAGGCAGATAAAATAGCACAAATTTATCAGTGTATCATTCCATGCCATCTCCACTATAAAACTCATTCTCCTACAGGAATTGTTATCTTTAAAATGTACTAAGCACTATGCTATTTCCAACAATGCTAACCACAAAGGTAATGATGCTGTACATTTAATTTTTCCAGGCTTCATGTGTCTGCTGGCATTATAAATGAGTCATTAACAGTCTCCTAAATAGATTGACACTGTTGTTTGCTACTGCTGAGAAATTCCATTTCTTTCAAGATAGCATAAGGACCATTTGGATTTAACAATCGAGGGACACAGAAAGCATGCAAAGTTAAGAGAACCGAAAAGTAAATGGGGTCTAACTTTATAGAATATCTATTTTGTCACTAAATTCAAGAGCTGAATAGCACTTTTCACAAGAAATCTAGTTTGGGAATATAGCTTTGCTTGTACAAAGAAACAAACAATGTGAAATAGGAAGAAAAGGGCCAAAGGTGTAGGGGAAGGGGGAAAAGTAGGGCAAAGGAAAGAAGGGAAAAGAAAAAATATGAGAAAAAAATGGAAACAAAGTCTGTAAACAGGGAAGGGTGGAGGGGGTGATGGAAGGGCAGGGCTATGGGGAAAAAATGAGAACCAAGATCTGTCAATGTAAAAGTACAAGATCCCAATGATGAATGTGACTGTACTGTATACCTAAAAAGTATGAATAAACTCAATGAAAAAAAAAGAAACAAACAAAAACACTAAAAAACACCTTGACCTTGAATAGTTTTAAGGATCAATTTGCTAACAGAAAGTCCCTGGATATTATATATATCAATGACAGCCACAATCCACTTTCTAATATTAACACATATCCTGGTTAAATGTGATTCAAGAAACCAGAAACTTTAAGCTACTAATTCTACATTGAATTTGGAAATTCAATATCACAAGAAGGATCCAGATAGCTTAGAAATGTATGGCAAAAATCTTCTTGTCTACGGGATTCAAAAATATTTAGTAAGTTTCTCCAATTTTGAAGCTGGGGAACAACAGGAAGCAGCTCAGTTTAGCTGAAACAATCTTTGCAGAAGAATGATGGGGATCAATTGAAACTGTGGCAGAGGCTTACTATCTAGTGCCTAGAATTTCATGATAATTGTTTCTATTCAAGTTTAGTCAGTAGGGAGGCTTATAAGGTTTTAAAAGATATCAAAAAAGATTAGAGCCGTGCCTGAAAATTAATATGACAGTACTAGATAGGACATAACAAAGATCAGCTAGGATGTTATTGCAATTGTCCATATATAGCCAGAAGAAGATGAATGACTGTGGAGATATTAAAAGAATAGCAAAAAAGGAGGACTGAATCTATAGGATTTAGATAATTATTGGTCTTAACAAAAAGGAAGACAAAATTGAAGTCAAATCTGGCGTTTATGACACAATGGCTAAAAAAGCTAGAATGTAGGAAAACAAAACAACCAACGCCCAGGATGATAAAAATTTTTGAACATGAATGCCAACGGTATTTGCAAGTAAAGATATCTAGAAGGCGGTCTACAATGAGGGCTGTGGATTTTGGGAAAGAAAGTAGAGTGGTATCACATAAATGTAATGGTAAAGCAAGGAATAACATCATTAATCTATATTTAATATAGTAGCTCACTGGTAGAGCACTTGTCTGGCATGTGTTAAGGCCCTGGGTTTGAATCAGACTTATAATGATAATGATGATAATAATTATAATAATAATAATGACAATGATGATGATAAGGCAGAAGCAGTATTTAGGAACAGGGAGAAATGAGACAAGAGGACAGACAAAATAAATAGATGAGAGAAAAAAAGAGAATACATTGTTTTAACCATGAGCATTTATGCACTAAAGGAGGTTTTCACCTATTCTAAAGAATAATCCAAGAGGGATAAACATTGGGTAGAAAAATCTGTTGGATTGAAGAGTAAGCCAGTTACCACAGTGATCAGAGCAGTGGCTCTCAATTCAGACTGCACATAAGAATTTTCAGGAAAGAGGGGAAGATGGCTGGCGTATACGGAGAAGACTCAAACAATATGGCTCAAAGTCTGATACCAACTACTTTATTTATAAGAAAAAATGAACTACCTGAACTGAAGTTTCAACTAACCTGCACATTAACTCCAAAGGAAGTTAAAGATCTGATCAAACTTCTGAGAGGCAGGAAAAAGTTCTGAGGCTTTAAAGCAGTAGACCAACACCAAACTATAATCTATATTGTCAAAGTATGAGCTATAGTTTTTGAAATCCTTAAAATTTCAAAAGGTTCTGGGGAAATTAGAATGTCAACAATTCTGTGCGTTTCTCAAAGACATACAAAAATGAAAAGAAACTGGGGAAAAAATCATCTAAATACAGGTTTTCTACCTAATTTAGTATAACAAAAAAATCAGAGATTATCTAAAGTTTCAACCTCATAAGCATGTTTTTAAAAAGTGAATAATTATCATGAGAAAGGTGAACTTCAACAGTTCCATTTATATTCTGCCAGGTCCTGTTTAAATAAAATGGAAAACCAATTTATGACACATCACCCTACTTAATGTGATAATGACTGCAGTGGCTCAAAAGATTTAATTTTAAATTCTTTATAGTACATGGGATGTTCTCATCAATAATTTGAGGTTTTAAGTGTTACCAGCTCTCATCCTGGACTGCTAACGGAAGCTGTCTAGTGATACAATGAAGCTTTCGTGTGGATAACAAACTACTTACCTGAAAAACTTTGATCTGTCAAAGGTGTTATTGTCTACTGCTTGGTAAATGGTTTGCATGAAAAGCCATACGTTGAATTGAGCATAAATGAAATAAAATCTGAGCACTGACAGAATGTCAATTATGGAGTTGCTAAAATAGTCCTGTTAAAATGTTGCTCACTTCAGCAGTTTTTTGATTGTAAGAATTTGATTTAAATATCATAACAAGGAAAGGCAGTAACATGAAAACACACAGGTACATAATAGAAACAACATATATGTTAACATTTTCAAGTGCTAGTTCAGATATTCAGAATATTTACACATAATTAACTACTTGGTTTCTTACTGAATCCCTTTAATGTAGGAATAAAGAGCCTTTATAATACTTCCTCTAAAACTGACACAACTGAGGCTCAAAGAGGCTAAGAAGTTTGTCTGGAAGCAGCTTTCTAGGGTGTCAGATCAAAATCGAGTTCTGCCAAATTTCATACCAGTCTATACAAATGTTTTACGTGACTAGACATATTAATTTTTTTCTCTGCTGCTTTACAAGTTACATAGTTCTATAATTCAGTATATTTTTATTATATTCCTAGCAATAAATATATAGTCTTCAATTAGCACCAATTACTTTAGAAGAGCCAAGTATACAAGGACATTCTTTTATTTATGTTCTACATGAGAAATTGAAAAAAAAAATAATGGCCATAAAAAGGAAAATAAAGGAGTTACAATGTAGTGGATAAGAGCTTTAGTTCTGGAAGATGAATACGTTCTAGAGATGCATGATGACAATGAAATTGTACCATAATTTAATGAATTTATTAATTAATTTAATTTCATAGAACAGTACATTTAAATCTGCAAAATAGTAAGCTTGATGTTTTGTAAATTTTATTACAATATAATAAAGCAATAAAATGTTTAAACCACACAAAGCTTTGACTGACATATTGTTGTACAAATTAGAAATTACTACAGATTGAAATATATTGGATGATCTATGTTACATATCTTACACTTCTATTTAAATATCACCTATATTCCAAGTAAAATACGAAGGGGAAAAAAGCTAAATATCATTTCCCATTTGAAAAAATAGAGTTACTTTGTAAAGATTATAAAGACTTTTAAGTGAGTATTGTGAAGTCAAATGAAAATAGAGTAAAACAGAATATTTATATCTTCCATGGCATTTTATCGAATAAAGCTCACCATACCATGCTTATCTATTCCTATGAGTTAACTTGTATAAAATATGATGAAAAAAATAGAAGCCATAATTCTCAAGA